CATGACGCTTCATCGACGGACTCACCTTCGGATCCACGCATCACCGAGCTTCTCGACGCTTACAGCGACGTGTTCGAAGGCCCGCACGGAATAGTACCAGATCAACCCATCCACCATGAGATCATCCTCGAGGACGGGGCCGTACCTCCGCGCGGTTGCATCTACCGAATGAGCGAGGAAGAGTTAAGTGTGCTTCGGGCACAACTCGACGACCTTCTGGAGAAAGGCTGGATTCGGCCTAGCTCATCGCCATACGGTGCTCCTGTTCTCTTCGTCCGGAAGCAGAACAAGGACCTGCGGTTGTGCATCGATTATCCCAAGCTCAACGCGCAAACGATCAGGAACGTCGGCCCTCTCCCACACATCGATGATCTTCTCGAGCGATTGGGCGGCGCCCTGTTTTTCTCTAAGTTGGATCTCAAGTCAGGGTACCACCAACTCGAGATTCGCAAGGAGGACCGTTACAAGACCACGTTCAAGACGCGATATGGGCATTTTGAATGGCTGGTCATGCCATTTGGCCTTACGAATGCCCCGGCTACTTTCCAAGCGGCTATGATGACGGAGTTCCGACACATGCTGGATCGTTACGTACTTATCTACCTCGACGACATCCTAGTGTACAGCCGGAGTTTGGAGGAGCATGTGGAGCACCTGCGCACCGTTTTGGAGCGGCTACGACAGGCCAAGTACAAAGCCAACCGCGACAAGTGTGAATTCGCGTGGCAGGAGCTGAAGTACTTGGGCCATTATGTGACGCCGCAAGGCATCCGTCCACTCGTGGACAAGATCGAGGCCCTACGAGTATGGCCCGAGCCCACCAACACCACGGACGTTCAGTCATTCATGGGACTGGCGGGCTACTATCAGCGATTCATCACCGGATACTCCAGGATTGCTGCACCTATGACGAGGTTACAGTCGCCAAAGGTGCCATTCGTATTCGATGACGACGCACGCCGGTCATTCCAAGAACTTAAGACGGCTATGCTCATGGCACCCATCCTTACCATCTCTGACCCCATTCTGCCGACGCGAGTGACTACGGACACTTCCGGGTATGGCATTGGGGCAGTCTTGGAACAACACGACGGCGACGACTGGCACCCTGTGGAGTATTTCAGCCACAAAGTGCCTCCCATCAACTCGCTTGATGATGCAAGGAAGAAGGAGCTGCTCGCATTCGTGATGGCTCTCAAGCGCTGGCGGCACTTCCTCCTTGGGCGTCGTAGGTTCACATGGGTCACAGACAACAATCCATTGACCTACTACAAGACGCAGGATACAGTGAGCAGCACGATCGGACGATGGATGTACTTCATCGACCAGTTTGACTTCACACCAAAACATTTACCCGGCCTCTCAAATCGCGCAGCAGATGCACTCTCGCGAAGACAAGATCTTTGCGCTATGACACATCATGCCTTAGCATTCGACGAGGAGCTTCAGCGACACTTCATCCGGGCATATCAGTCTGATCCGGACTTCGGCACGCTCTATGCACAGCTATCTTCGGATCACCCGCCRGCCAGCCATTACTGCATTGCCGATGGGTATTTGCTCCTCCACTCGAGAGGCAAGGACTTACTATGTGTCCCACGCGACCGTCGTCTTCGGACTCGCCTCCTCGGCGAGTATCATGATTCACGACTCGCCGGCCATTTCGGAGTCAACCGCACTATTGCACG